TCAACATTTCATTCTCATCCCATACTACATCTCAGATACCAGCCAAACTATGGACTAGCTCCTCATCTCTCTCAGCCTCCTTGATTCTCTGGAGTAACTCATTCTCAATTCTTACACTGCCCAACCTTATACTACGCCTTCTCCTCACCACAGACAGATTCATATCTCGGAAAGCCTCAAATAATTTAAGCTCTTCTATCATCAGAGTTGCAGTGTGCAGAGTCTTTCGACTCAAAGTATCAGCTACTACGTTTGCTTTTCCTGGGTGGTATTTCAGTTCAAACTTGTAACACCCCGTGTATACCCGGAATATTAACATTACATCGTATTAAGCAGTGTTTAATTAAAATTGTGGAATATTCTTTTTCTTTTCAATTATGACGTCATTAAACTTAGCCAAGTTGATTACTTAATCAATTTCATAAAATATCACCTGTATGTAAACTGCAATAAGACATCTACTGAAATTACTCAATATATAAATAAAGTGTGTATCTAAATCACGGCATTACATCTCGTAATCCGGACAATATCCTGATACATTATTACAACTCCCAACAGACTCAAGACATAAACAATACTAGGTGTCATGGACAATCCCCATGCTCACCAAATAAACAGCGTAAACAACAAGTTTCAACATAAAACTCCATAAACATAAACTGAAGCTATAAACATATAATCAGCATGCAAATCCAGCTTCCAACATGTCAGCATAAATAACAACAAATCTAACTCAGCTCCGGCCTCTTGCCGCCTGAGGTCTCAACATTACCTGAACCTGAAATAAGCGCCCCAAACGTGGGGCTCTAAACTGGAAATCTCAGTAAGACAAGGGGTCCTCAAGGATCTTCCACCCCAAGCTCACTTAAATGTGCAATATAAGTTCTAAAAGCATTTACATCAGTATAAGTTCTCAAAACTATGCAGTGCAACATATATTCATGACATGTGTATTGATACTATTCTACTGGCCAGAGAAATGCAGGAATAAGTATACGTCTATCCTCTACAGATAGTACAAGGAACATCGCTTATACCTCACCCACAGCCTCACTATATTGTATGTACCACATACTCAGGCTTACCGTATAAGTGGAACACCACACGCATATCTTAAAGATACTAGCATATAACAGCTCAACAGCAATTTTAAAACATCAAAACCATGTAACACAGCATGCATATACCATACCTCCATGGGACATGGTGGAACCACAACATGGCTAAACCGAGGACACGAAAGCTTACCTTGCAAGCTAACTATCCAATCCAAGAGTCCACACTAGCTCAAAGCCCGCAAACAGTACAATCACAATCTGTTTATACAGTAAGTAATCATCAATAACCATCTATCAAGGTTATATTAAGTCATTAAGGCTTTCCATCTCATTATAAGTCATTTTATGCATTTTCTGCAGGAGGTATTCGAATACTCCTCGATGAGTATTCGAATACTCCCTGTCTCCAGAAAGTATTCGATTACTTTCATTTAAGTATTCGAATACTACCAAGTATCCGAATACTTTCGCCCCAGTATCCGAATAGCACAATATTCGAATACCAAACCCCACTGTATTCGAATACTTTCCAGTATTCGAATACTTCTTCAAAGGTATCCAAATACTTTTCTTCCCAAAAAATTATTCCAATACTCCTGCAAGGGGTATTCGACTACCAGGTTAAAACTACCATTGCAACTCTTTATCAAATACTCTATGATTTTAATATTTTATACTAGACATCTCAAGCTTTCCAACAACATATCTTATGTCTCAATCGGAGTTGTATAAATCCGGTTATGATTTTTGCAAAGTTCCTACAACAAGCTGAATTTCCAGCAATAGGGTCTCGACTTCAAACATACACTGAGAGAAATCCACTTATCCAATGGATCTGAAAATTTACAAGTTTGTAGCCCTATGTGTTAGCTTCACATAGGTCCGAACCTCACTCAATTTAGAGCTCTGTAGCTCAAGATATCGCAATTTTACTAAACTAGGTCGCTGTTGTCTCGCGAAGTATTCGATTACTGCATTTTCCCAGCAAAGTATTCGAATACTGCCCGAAAAGTATTCGAATACTTCTTCGACAGAATGCAGAAAACTGAGTTTTAAAGGTAAAATCGTCTTCTAATGATCCAAACTCGATCTGGAGTCCAAGAACTCCTTAAACAGATGTTTATTAACATGCTATGAACCCAGAAACACATTCCTTTTATCAAATGGTTCAAGTTACGATTTTTAATTGCTTAAACAAGCTTAAAACATCAAAATGACAAGAGTTATGATCAAGTATACCTCTAATGCACCACAACTCCGAAAATGAGGCACACAAGGGGTCCTCTACACAGCACATAGGTTCTGACCCACCAAGACTACGAAAATCAACAACAAGCTTTGACCTTTCACCATCAAAATGGCTTCTTGAAGCCTTTCAAGCCAAGAACAAGATGACCCTCACCCCAAACTTTCAAAATCAGCACTAGAAACCCCAACACAGCAGCTAAAACTATCAGAAAGCAACACCTCACTCACTCACAAGCCAACCACACAAGGTATACAAGGATAGAGGTGACTAATCTCACATAAAAGAGGTGTCTTGAAGGGTTAAGGTGAAGAAAAGCTAACAAAACAGAGAAGAAATGGAGGAGCACCAGCTGCTGACCAGCCACCACGTAGAGGACCAAAGGAATTAACCTAGGTCTTTGTGCCAATCTCTATTTATAGCCACTTAAAGGTTAAACACACAGTATTAACTTTAATTTCTACGCTTAGCATTTTAATTCCAAACTTAGGATTATGAAACTACTCATTTTTTCAAGAATAATCATATTTTTATTATATTTTTCCGAGCACCTTTCCGGTACGCGCTTTTCATAGCCAGTATCAGTTTCTGACACCCGTTCTCATTATATTAACTTGAAACTCGTTTTACAAGTCCTATATAATATTCTAGTAATTATCAAGCACTTTTCATAATTTTCCGGGATACTTTTTCGGTACGCATTTATACCGACTGGCAAAACCGGTATCTGCACTTTTCCTCCGAAAAGCGACTTTCAGCATTCTTAATCACTTACTATAATTATATAAGCCTTATAATAATTATTAGAGTCAATTATGGAATCATTTCCTATTTTCGCATAATTAATTAATTAAATTCCTTAATTAACGGTGCAGATTCTTACAAAACTCATAGTCTTTCAAGATTTTCATCCACCGGCGTTGCCTCATATTTAACTCTTTCTGATCGAACAAATACTTCAGGCTCTTATGATCGCTGAACACATCAAACTGAGATCCATTCAAATAGCGCCTCCATTTTTTCAGTGCGAACACTATGGCTGCTAACTCTAGATCATGTGTGGGATAATTTTCTTCATGAGACTTCAATTGCCGAGAGGCATAAGCTACAACCATCCGGTCCTGCATCAATACACAGCCAAGTCCTTTCAAGGACACATCATAGTATACTTCAAACTTTCTAGTTGGATCTGGAATGGTAAGTATCGGAGCACTCGTCAATCTATTCTTCAGCTCCAGAAAACATTCTTCACAATCTTCTGTCAACTCAAAAGGCACATCCTTCCGAGTGAGACGGGTAAGAGGCTGTACTAACTGTGAGAAATTTTGGATAAATCTTCGATAATAGCCTACCAGTCCCAAGAAACTCCGTACTTCGGTGACGGTCCTGGGTCGTTCCTAATTCATGACAGCTTCAACTTTGCTGGGATCCACCGTGATACCTTCTGCTGAAATTATGTGGCCTAGGAACTGGACTTCATTAAGCCAGAACTCACATTTCGACCACTTTGCATACAATTGCTTCTCTTTCAGGATCTGTAAAACTATCCTCAAATGTTCCGCATGCAGTTCATCATTAGGGGAATAAATCAGAATGTCATCGATAAACACAATAACAAACTGATCCAGGAATGGCCGGAAGATGCGGTTCATATAATCCATGAATACCGCCGGAGCATTTGTAAGTCCGAACGAAATCACCTGATATTCGTAGTGCCCATATCGAGTCCTAAAGGCTGTTTTCGGAATATCCTCCGGTTTGACCCGGATTTGATGGTATCCCCATCGTAGATCTATTTTAGAAAAGACTCTGGCACCTCTTAGCTGGTCCATCAAATCATCTATCATCGAGAGCGGATACTTATTCTTCACAGTCACTTTGTTTAGCTGACGATAATCTACACACAGACGTAGACTACCATCCTTCTTCTTAATCAAAATTGTTGGAGCACCCCATGGCGAAGTACTGGGCCTAATGAATTCTTTTGACAGTAACTCTTCTATCTGCTTCTTCAACTCCCAAAGTTCCAAAGGTTCCATACAATATGGAGCCATGGAAATGGGTCCAACTCCGGGAATAAGTTCTATGGGGAATTCAATTTCCCGATGAGGAGGTAATCGAGGAATTTCATCTGGGAACACCTCCTCGAATTCATTAACAACAGGAACATTCTGAATTTGGTTGTCAACCGAAGTCTCGGACTCAATCAACAACAGATATCCTGCAGCTCCCCGAAGGAGCTCCTTTCTAACTTGTAACAAAGAAATAGAGGAAAAGGAATGAAAATTACCATCTCTTGGAGGAACAACGACCTTCCCTGCTTGATAGTCTAACGTTATTCCGTTCTCTGCCAACCAATCTATACTGATAATCACATCAAAATTGAATACCGGCAGAACCACTAAATTCACTGTATATGTGTTCCCTTCAAATTGTAAAATAACACCTCTGCAAATTTCTGAGGCCATACACGATCCCCCAGTAAGAGTACTGATGTTCAATTCATAAGGTAACGGAGCAGGGGTGATGCCTATTCTCATAGCAGTGTGCCCCGCAATAAAGGAACCTGACGCTCCAGAATCAAAAATAACAGATATAGGATAGCCATTTAAAATTACATTACCTCGGATCAAGTTTGGATATTTCTGAGCTTCATTTGCATCAAGGGTGAACACCAGAGCTTGAGTAGGATTTCAGTTAGGATTTTGCGGGCAATCAGAAATAAAGTGGCCTGACTGTCCACACCCATAGCACAAGTTGTTTCCACGTCGACAAACTCCAGTGTGATTCTTCCCACAAGTTGGACAAGCATAGGAACTCTGTCTTCCAGCAGATGTTTGGCCAGGAGCATTAGTCTTCTTGAAATTTCCAATCCGAGTCTGCAACTGCGGACCCTTGCCTTTGTTCATTCCGGTAATTTTTCTGAAAAACCGGCCCACTTTGCTTCCTCCCCGGGATTGCATTGGTTGCTTGTTCAGATTCTTGGCTTCACTGATAATTTCCTCCGCCTGTCGACTCTGATTAATTAATTCCGGTAGAGTACGATTAGCCGTAGTCAGCATGAGCTTCCGGATCTCTGGGTGCAAACCGCTTTCAAATTTCTCCACCTGCCATTCCTCGTCATAGATGTTTCGGTCAAAGTTTGCATATTCCATCAGCTGCGCGAACTTCGCAACATACTCGTTGACAGTCATGCTTCCCTGCTTGAGAGACAGCAGCTCAGTGTGTTTCATTCTTCTCATCGCCTTTGGAAAATACTTATCCAGAAAGACCCGTCGGAATACTGCCCAAGTCAGTCCAATATGTTGGGCTCGCAGCAGAGCCCTAGCACCGGTCCACCAAGTTAAAGCTTCACCAGTTAGCTGGTATGAGGCATAGTCAGTCTTCTGGGCCTCCGGACATCCCATACGTTCAAAGATGTGCTCGATCATCTGCAGCCATCTTGTTGCAGCCTCAGGGTTATCTCCACCTTCAAAGATAGGTGGATGGACGTTGCGGAAGTCTTTCAACCTCCGTCGGGCAATTTCCTCAGCATTTTCATACATCTGAGGTTGAGGCATCTGGGGTTGGTCAGGATTCTGCTGTCTATATTCTCGCCACTCCTGACTCATGTTCTGGACAAAAGTGGCCAATCCCCCAATAGTGGTGATAAGGTCGTCAGGTGCATTGCTAGATCTTCCCTGAGTAGAACCACGAGGACCTGCCATGTTTCTGCACTCACAATACCACGAAATGAGCTGATCAAACTCACTGCAAGTTATTTATGACAGCAATCCCAAGTAGGTACTCGAGTTCAAATCAAATAAGTTAGTAATGCATCTGTCCCTATCACCCAGGTAATTCTAACAGTCTAGCTATCACAGTAAATATACTTCTAACAATTTAAACAATTATCATACAACAAGCAACAAGTATTTAACAGTCAATTACAGTCAACAAACAATACAGCAAGCAGCAAACAATTCAATCAAAAACAGACACCATGAACCAAAACTGCTCTGATACCAATTAGTGTAACACCCTCCCTTGTATGCATCCAAAAGAGTTGTTTGCTAAGCGAAATTAGAGTTTTTGACATCAATTTAACTTCTGAAAAATCATTTTGATGTAGCTAATTAAAGCTATCAATTGAAATCAAGTTCCTTACAAAAATCAGAGTATGCTTTCAAAATTTCTTAAGTTGTTGAAAATATTATTTTCCTGGTAGACCTTACTGTCTTTAAAAATTCGTATAAAATCATTTTCGATGATTCAAAAAATATTCCATATAATCTAGAAAGAGCACGTCTGGGGCTTCGCGTGCATATAAAATAATAGTAAATCAGAGTTCGTTTTCCCCTCGAAACATAACTCGCAAAGTGCTCGCAAAACTATTAAAAAAGAAAAACACTTAATAAAATGTCGTAAATTATTTTCGCAAAACATTTCTAGAATTTGTTTCCAAAATACTTGCTGATAATAAAAGTCTTAAAACAGCAATAAAATCATAATGCAACAGTGATCCGAACTTCTCAAATTAATACAGTCATCCGTCAAAAAAGCAGTAACAACAAAAGTCCAAACAGCAGCACATAACAGCAAAACGTCCATCTAATCATGTCTTCATATGCTCTTCCGTCCTCTTGCCATTTTATAAAAATAGCAGCCCCAGATGGGTGAGAAAAATCCCAGTAGTGTGATAACAAAACCAATAATGCAACAGTACTAACTAGATACAGAATTACAAAGCAGTCGCATCATCAAGTTAAATCCGACGGATACTAAACGTTATCATATTGCGTATATAACGCCAAAATTACTAATCAAGATGCGTATATAACGCCAAAGTGTACGTTTACAGCATCTTCGTGCCCGTACTAACAAGTACAGTGGAGGGAATGGCTCCTCAAGAGGGTTCCAACTGCAACCTAAGCGGACTGAAGCCAAGTGTCCCATACCCTGGTACCGCAGGGATGCCTACATGATGCGTGCTCAAACGTATGCATACTTTTCGAAAATATTTTCAGTTATAAACATGAAACTTATGCAGGTATGATGCGTCATGAATCACACACAACATATAGTTAAAAATTATGAATGTGCATGCATGACTAGATAATAGTCAAGATCATATATATAGCTTGTGGATTCAATATCAAGATGCTGCGAAATAATTAAAACAGAATATTCAGCATTTCTAAGTCCAAAACAGAATCCAAATAACATATCCAAAAATCCGCGCATGAGAGCAATGATCACAATCCATGCACCAGCTAGCAGTCACAAAAGGTAATGTCACCAGACACTTACCTCACATGTCACAATTAATTTTACCAGGCAGCAGCGAAAAGTCCACTAACTCACGAAAAATGGGCACCTAAATACAAGTAAAACCCATCAGAATGTGTTTCAAGCTATTTCTATAATTCTACCGACAAGCTTTCCATGCTCAAATGCTTCTGCACCCATTCGGCCATTAGGGTCCTTTCCCAAAAATATTCTGATTTCAAATTATTCTTTACCAAGTTTAACAGCAAGGATTTCTTAAGTTTCCCAATCAAGGCAGAATCGGTTTTGACCCAAAGGTTACACACGATTTAATTCATTTAATTTCTACCTCTCTACTCATAGAATGCACAAAAGAATGCCTATTTAATATGCTGACTAGTTAGTTTAAAAAGGAATTTAGTACACACCAAAACAGAATGGGTTTGTCTAAACAAAACATCAAGGAGAATTTATTCAAAAATCCAACTACATCATTCAAGGTGCGCTACAAGGGCCTAAGCATGCTGTCCAATTCACATGGTTTCATAAAATTTTAGAGATATACCAAGTCATAATCGATTTCATCTAAACCAAACCATTTAAGATAATTTATTCCAAACACATCTACTCCATAAAGGGGTGCGCTATAAGGGGTCTAGGCTTGCTGATCTCTTAAATTTGATTCAAGAAAAGTTTTAAATATTCTAGATCACAACCAAACAGCCCCAAATTTATTAAAAGATTATTCTAAAGTTGATTTCCTTTATGTTTTCACACTAGAGTCCAAGGATACAAGATGGCAGAATCTACAAGGGGATAAAATAAAAGGAAACTACATCCTAAGCATGCTTCACAACAAGAATATAGGAGGGAGAAGAGGTTCTACATATGTGCTTACCTCTATTGCAAGCACACAAGGGAAAATCGAACAAAATAATGAGCAACACCACCGCTTTCTAAGCTCCACGAACACAACAAGCTCCACTCTTCTAAAGGTGACCGCGCGCAAGAATGAGGAGAGGAAAAATTAGTTTACGTTATTATTTACATACAATGGAACGTCTCCTTCAACCAAAAGAATGAGCAGCGAAACAGAGGCACACTTTACCTCTTAGAATAATGACGCACAGCTGAGCAAGGAAAGGAGAGAAATTGTGTTTGAGACTTGGTACTTCCCCAAGAGGTTCCACGGTTTTAAGATGAAGGAGTAGGTGAGAGCAAGATGCAGTTTGGTGATTTCTCTTTGTATGTTTCTCACTGTTTCTTACGGTCAAGGAAGGAATAATGATGATACAAGACTTTTGTGTTTCATTGCTGTATTTTCACTCACGGTTTAGGGAGGAAAAGAGGTGGAAATGGCTGAGTTCTTCTTGGACTACGCAAAACAAGCTTCCAACTATTTTCTTCTACAACATCAGCGCAAGTTAGGTGAAGGATGGGGATTGTGGATGCTGATTTAAAATGAGACCCAAGGATCAGAATTTTATTAGGTCTCACTCTCTCCCTCATGCGCTAAGGAGGAGGAGTGTGGTGTGGGGGCATTTCTACCCAATTAAAATTCATGCAAGCTGACACTTTAGGGTTAATTGGGTGCATGTAGGAAAAGGCTGAGTTAATTTAGGTAGAATAGCAAGTCAGACCAGCTTTGTGGCACCTCCTAGGCGCATGGAAGAAAGAAATTGAAAGTGGCTGACTTGGTTTATCAAAAAGGAATTTAATCAGAATTTTTGTTTCCTTTTTCACTATTCTAGGCGCACAAAAAAGAGGGAAGGTGAGGTTGATGAGGTTCTTTCCATGTGGAGATTGCAAGCCAATTGAAGGCTGCTTTGTTAAAATTTCTTAAGATGAGGTGAGATTAGGCCAAGGTACAAAGAGCTTGGGCTGAATTAAAACATCCTTAGGGCCCTACACATTCGGCCATCACAAGAGTTGGGGCTACAAATTTATAGGTCCATTAGTGTTGCTAATTTAAATAATAACCCATAAAATTATAATTTCCCAAGTCTTTTAAGTATTTTAATTATTTTTTAATTCTTCCTATAAATTATTACTAAGTTATTCCTATATCTTTTAACTAAAATTCCACATGCCCAAAATAAATTCTCACTTATTATTATAATTCAATACTTCCCTAACTCAATATTAATTCCATACTAATAGCTATATAATCCGAAATCAAAGCATGTTTTGCACATAACTCGAATTTAACATGAGTATCAATATTAATTCCCTAATTACGTGGGATGTTACATTTGACATTTATGGTGTAAAAGAAACGTATGGATGTAAAGGTTTTAAGTGCTGTCAAAATTTTCCGTAGTAGTGAGCTCAATTTTAGAAAAATCATATCTCAATCAATTATTAACCAAATGACGTGTGTGAGGTAGCAAATTGAAGCTAAGGATGTCTAGTTTCTTGTTCTAAAATATGAGAATTTTATGAGCTCATGTTACAGTTTTCAAAAAAAATAGTGGGCATTGTTGGTTCTCGTTTAAGTTTTACAACAAGCAACAGTGAGTTTGCGAAATTCATATCTCCTTCGTTACTTAACGAAATGATACGATTCTTGTGTCAAATTAAAGATTAAAATGTCTATTATTTTTCTTAAAAATTACAGAATAAACTGGGCAATAGATCCTTCTAGAATAAATAAATAGTCCGCGACCCTGTTCTAGTGACGTTGGATTTTCAGTTTACTTCTTACGACAGACGTATCATGGGCTGTACTTATCAGAATAAAGCTTGTGATATATCTTTGGAAAGCTTGTGACACTTAGATTATGATGGTTAAGTATACTAATATTAGGAAAATTTTCGTTGGATGAGCATGAATTGGTGTTGTGTTTTAACTTGATTTACATGTGGATTTATGATCCTATCTGTGATCGTTGTAGGTTGCCTCCCACGGACGTGATCCTTGAGGATTGAGCTTGGTGGATTGCCTTTGGTCCTTGACCAAAAGGATTTGGGCATTTCTGAATGGACGAAGTTACGGTAAAACTTGCATTGGAGCTACCTAGCTTGGGAGCTTCAAAAAGGTAATCCCTTGGTACTGGGGTTTGATCCATGTGTGTGCTCCACCATGCCCGTTGAGGGTAATGGTTGGAGGTGTATGTGAATAATGTAGTATAACATGATCATGCATATTGTATGTATAGTGGTACATAGGATGCACCCAGTCTCTTGCCAGTAGACTGTTGCCTTCGGGCGTTACGGACTTCCACTGGATAGGTCTCCATGAGGGAGTTCCAGTTTATCTGGGGTCGTGGTGTGTCATCCGTAGAGGAGCACACTAGGAAGTCTCGGGTGTATATGGATGGAGGGTGCCTTGGTTGATGTTCTGGGAACACTTCCTTGGATGAGAACCCGTAGGCTATATGTAGAGGCCAATAAGCCGGATGTACCGTGGCTTTGGCATAGACCATTCCAGCTTCATCGTATTTTTACTCCCTATGCTTCC